GGTCACCCGTCTGTACCAAGAATCCCGGGACGACTCTGAAACGGACATGAAAAGGGATACAGCATGTAAGGCAGGACAAACCGGTGGAAGATCACTCCATCGTAGTACCCTTCTAGTGCGAGCGCGATGAGGTTGCGACATGCTTTTGGACATTCCTGCTACCTGTCGGTTCATATTCTAATGAGTGGTTGATGGGACGCGCCTTGGACCATAGTTCAATCTGGTTGTATAGTCAGGAATGTAGTGTCCAGAGTCATATGATTGTGCACCTCTATATCACCCACGGTTGTATCAACCAAAACTCTGCCATTTGTTGGTAGTAAAGAGGACATTGTTCGTCAAGTAATGATGGTCGCTCCGTTCAGAGAAACAAGCGCTCAAGCACACGAACAAGTCGCGCAAAATGGTGGTACTCTTCATCGGTACTTAATTTGTCAAATCATCTACCCTGCAACTTCCCGAGTCGTAGGCTAAACGAACACGAACGACTCGCAGTTCTTTTCATATCAACAGCCTGCTGATGGACCGCAGATGCGGCGGATGAATTGTAAGGAAGAACGCGCTGGTTAGTCGGAGAGTGGGGTATACGATATACAGCCTTCGCCTCTTGATGTCTTCGTGTAACGCTTTACTGTCTAGGAATGAGTGAATAGATACGGTACGTGTATATCATGGTATTTGAATATTTATTCATGACATGGGTAAGGCAGAATCGGTCGATAACAAGTTGCCGCCTGTGAAAGCTTGAATGAGCTTACCCAGATATACACTCATGAAGCCTGGAAGGAATTAGCCGGTCGAAACATGTATGAAGAAGACATAACCAGTGCCCTCTAGCACTGGTCACAGTAGTAAGGACTGCACATCTGATCACTCAGGAACTCTTATCTATTTGTGCATTGCCTCATAGACAGCATCTATTCAAAACCTAGTCGGCGTCAAGGGCGAATTACTTCTTTCTTGAATGAAAGACGAAACTCGCCGAGGCAATTCCTCACCGCATTCAAAAGACCATTCATTAGCATTGTGTACATATACATACCACTTACTCACCAGGACACGATAAGCTGTTCCATGAAGTTATTGGCCTGGTTGGGTATAAAAGGATGGCAGTCGAAAACCACTTCACCCCAAGCTGGTCTTCACATATCCCTCAAACCGCGCTCTTCAGTTCTTAGCACACACCGCACTACCCCTTCATCCTTCTAACAACATGATTCTAACACCGTATCAAGAACACGATTCTAACACCGTACCAACAACCCGATTCTAACACTGTATCAACAACACGATGATCTTCCCTAAACTCGCCATTCTATTTTCTGTCTCTTCTGCCATGTTGCTTGTCGCAGCTCGTCCTACACCTACTCGTTATGTCGATGATTCCCCAATGTTGTCTCTGCGGCACATCTCAACCGCCGACCCAGCCGCAGAGGTATATGCGCGGTCCTGTAGCAAGGAAGAATTTGAGCTCGTGCTTGGCGCTAGAAAAGCTAAAGATGGTGTGCATGCATCACCAAAGTTGGAAGAGCATAGTGGTAGGCACACGTAAGTAGATAGTAAATATTATTTCTGGTGTGCATCATACATGCATCAGGTGCTGGAGCCACATGTATGCATTGTGACTAAGTCCGTTCTAGGGCCGCTGATCCATATCCCTGCATCATCTCCGCATGAAGACCACGACCCCCCCCCCCCCCCCCCCCCC